GTAGAGTTTATGACATCATATCTTTGAACTGGTAGGCACAGTAAAGTGAGGTCTTAAGCAATTATTGTTGTGCAAGCTGTTGGTCTTGGTAAGTAAGCAAATATTTCCTGGAGCAAGCAGCAAGTGATTTTTGTCTGGTCCTAGTAGTGTTTGGCACAGAAACAAGAAAATACAGCTTTCCCCAGAATAGTTTATCACAGGGACAGGAGAGTACATTGAGTTTAGTTCTTGATATTAGCCCCTTTTTTGTATAAAAAAAGTATTCATATTTATATTTATATCTCACTAGAAAAGGTCTAGGAAGATAATTATTTATTGATTAAAAGTGGTTATCTCTGGGTGAAAGGATTACTGGCGTGATTCAATTTTTTCCTTTTTGCTTACCTATATTTTCAAAAATTTTCCTACTAACACATTTTCAGGAAAAAAAATGCGTATTTGTTTAACCCTTATTTAGCCAGATAATTACAGGACTATAGTATCTGGAATTGCCCTCACCTGAAAATTTCAAATCCAGTTCTAAATCTAACACCTAATCTAGGAACGATTTTGTGGCCAATTTGTAACTGACTAAATTATTACCTAATCACAACCATGCGACACAACGAGCATTTAGGTAGCTTTTCATTTTTTTCCACCAGACAGGTTTATGCTTACAGACTCTTTTAGAATCCATTCTTCAGAAGTATCTTGAAAGCATATTTAACTAACACAGACACCTACTTCCCTCCTCAGCCTCTGTTATCACTCCATTTGCAGAATTATGGTACAGTGGGTGTCAGGGACAAGAAGGAAAAGACGAGTGAGATCCCTGGTGAACCCGGAAGTCTGCAATAAAGTCTCAGGATCACTCCGGTCAATCACTAAGAAATATTTTTGAGCATCTAATATTTGCTGAGTGCTAGAGAAATTGAGGCATGGCACAAAAATTGGATAATCTACATTCCATCTCTTAAGGGAGTTTATTTTTTAACTGGAGGAAGGGTAATGAGGAGTGATGAACACATAGGAAACAATTTCAGACAGATACAAAAAAGGCGTAAAACCAAGCACTGCTCCACAAGTGGAATAGTACTTAATTCTACACTGGTCTCTGTTACCATATTTGTATTATGCATCTCGAGTAGTCTAGACTCCAAGGCCTATATAAATTTGAAGATAAGAAGGTTTGGGGCATTGAGATATTCTAGTTAAAGGAAGGTTAAACTGAAACTTTTTTTTCTTCATTTCTATATTTTTTTTATTGAAAATCTTCCCAAAATTTGACTCTACTTTACTTTCTGCATAAATAATTGCAGCTTAATGAACCCAATTGTAGGGCCTCAAAGGTCATGTTTATTGCATATAGATGTAGATTTCACCGAATGTAGCTAGAAAGATAGGAGATTGATATGATGTGCATTGACTCCAAGGCATAGGCTTAAATGTACTTCAAAGGAAAAAACCCACATAAACAACTACCTGATACCCGTGTATTTTCTGGCAATTAGCTTCTTTCCATTAAAGAATGTTCCAATTGGTTGGAACAATGTCATTCCACTGGACATAACCCTTTATTGACAATAAGTACCCTTCAGCAGAGATTGTACAACCTCATAGACGAGGGGCCTTCATAACTCCCTTCAGGAAACAGAGGCCCAGAGAGGAGCCTTTCTCAAGTTTGCACAGTAATCTATTGATGGGCCTGGATTAGAATTCTGATCTCCTTGTTTTCATGCTGAGCTTCCTACCTCTCCAGTCTGATACCCCATGCCTTTCCCCACAGGTGAAACTTACCGGGGACTCTGGGTATCTTAGCTATTAGACATAGATATAAAAGAAGCACAGCTCGCAACACCTTTGAGTACAATGAGATGCTCTCATTTGCAAGGGGACTTTTTGGAAGCTTCTCTGGAATAGGACTCAGTTCTCCTCAAGGCCAGGGCATGGCCATTGCCATCCTATGCCCTTTGGTTTGTTCATAGCACGGTTAAGGTAACCAGGACACAGAAAGACATTGTCTTCCATGCTCCCAGCCCCAGCCAGCCCGCGGAGCAGACACCCTGCATTCAAACAACTGAAGCGCGGGGCGCCTCCGGGGTGAGCAGTCCTGGTGATCTAACTGGCTATTCAAAACAACAACCAACTTGGCTAATGCACCACTCAGAATGCCTTCGGCCACTTGTGGGGAAAAAACCCAAACCCACCCTCAAACAATCTGGGATGTATTACAGAATGGGAAATCCAGAGTGAAGACCAGTTTCAGGGGCTGTTGATTTAGCAACTCTGTGGTCTCATCAAGGACCCAGGTTCTGCCCCTGTTTCTTGCTGCAGTTTTGCAGTGTATGGCCTGTGCCCTGAGGCTGGCCCCTCACGGTCCCCAGGGGTGGCAGCACTTCCAGGCCTCACACCCACATGCAGAGGCAGTGACTTCATGGAGTCACTTTCTTAAGAACAAGAGGATCGTTCTCAGGAATTGCTGAACAAATCTATCCTCACAATCCCGTGTGACACCGGTCAGGAGCTCGCTCTGAAGCCAACCGCAGCTGGGAGGACACTTCAGATGTCTGTGACTTACCTGCGGAAATGGGGCTAGGTTCATTCTCACCTGAGTCACAGGAGGGTAGCAGGATGTGTTTCGGCTGGGGAGTAGGGAGGAGAGGGGCAGTGGACTACTGACCCAACCAGAGCTCTGCCAGAGGAAGATGGGAAGATGGGGAGTCAGGATGGTGGGATGATTGTCACTCACCTGTCACCTGTAGCACCTGCTACATCTGCCTTGAGCTCCAGGCTGCCCCTCCCATCAGGAATCACCCTGGAGTCAGCTGTTCATCCCTTCCAAGGTAAGGAGACACTGTCCTGACAGAGTCTAGAGGACTTAGGAGACAGCCATGGCGTTGGTACTTTTTAGCAATGTGAACACTCATTGAGGTCTTCATTGGACAGTATGTTGGCTTCGACTGGGGACTTTGAACTTACTGGAGACTCTGGGAACCCTAACCCAGGGTCAGTGATGTGGTCTAAGGGTGGCATTTCAGGCCAGGGACAATGACAGGGCTAAGCCACCAAGAGCCACCAGTAGATTGATATCTTAAGGTACTTTTTAGATAACACATAGACTGTCAATGTTGGCCTATTGCCAGTATGACAATATAGATAGGAAATGAGAATCATGGAAGGGCATCAGTATAGTTTTTTACGTAGCCCATGTACTATGAAAGAATTTTTAGACTTGATAAAAAAAATTTGGTTTTTGGATGGCTGGTTCATAAACTTTTTGCTTTTCCTTTTCTTCTTCCTCCTTTCATATTTGCTTTTGGTTTTTAAGAAGAATGACCATATTTTCTTTTATAATAGGAGAATAAAATAACTTTTATATGGAAAAAAAGAAGTATTTTATACTTATCATTTAAAACTGCATAGGAAATCCCTACCTCAAATGAGAAGTCTGATGACCACTTTTGTAATATTTGAAAATAAACCAACTTTATTTGAATCTGTCAATACCAATCATGACTGGAAAACAAATTTATAACTGGTTCAGATTCATAAGGAAAACACTCAGCAATATCTTCATTAAAAGGCATTTTACATTCATTAAGGCTTGAAAGCAAGTCTTGATATTTTATCACCACAGTTAAAGGTCTTAAGAAAAGCAAGTAACCACCATTTGGAGTGTCTTTATAAAATGAAATGCTTGCTCTTTTACAAAAACTAGGCATATTTTGCTAAATTAGTTAACTCTCCAGCTTATGAAATGGGACAACCAGGTGGACGCCCAGGAAAGTAAGAAAAATTCAAACATCAGCTGAACATTTTATATTTTAAATATATGCACAGTCAATATTATGAAATCTTAACTCTACACAAAATATCTTAGATGATTGAATCCTTAAAAGTATGTTTTGCCAAAAAACAGATTGCTTTTATAGAAATATAGATTAGCCCAAACCGTATGTTGAGGCAGTATTTTATTTATTTTTGGTTGTGGGGGGAATTAGATCTATTTCCTTAAGTAATATTAAATGAAATTATGCACACTTTGAATCATACCTAATTACAAGATGAAAGCATCTTGAAACAAAGCTGGGGGCAGAATATTGACGCAAGGAGAAGAATGTGCTTTTTCAAGGCGGGCACCCGTTGTCTGATTTGAATGGAGAAGGGCAATGGATAGAAGACAATGGGCTGTGTGCAGAAGGTCCTGTTCACTTAAGTTCTCCTAACATCATAATTGGGGTGCTTCACATGCACTCTTTCTCTAATGCTTTCTTAGGATTCTTTTTGAAGTTCTGTCAAAAAAATAAGAAAGCGATCCCTTGGGAATCATTGAACTTGGTTTTAACCATGAGTTAATGTTTCCTCTTTCCAAGGAGGGTGCCAGCAGCCACTCGACTCACTGTGCGATTGAGATGGCTCCTGGCCAGTGGGCATCGAGGCGAATCATAGAAGCACCTACTGGATACCTGCTGCTTCTGGACCAATTTAATTTGAGACACAGACCTCTCACAGTGATGGTAAAAATCCTTACCGGATAGACCTGCACTTTCCTGTCTCTGCCTCCCTCTTAATTCTATTTGTCCAGGTTTTGACACTTCTTGGGACTCTCAGATGATCAAGGTCTTTTCCAGGTATGATCCATCTTGTGACAATTCTAAGATGCTTGGTGTTGTCTGTCTGCAGAGTGGCCATGGGACACAGGTGAAGAGCTTCTGTTGTTTCCTTTGGCAGGTGCCTGAAAACGCAGCACAGGAAACCTTGCTCTTGGTGTGGCCTTTTTCTGAAGAAAAGATCAAGATCCTCATGGCCCCACTAGCACAAGAAGGGAATGTCAAGGACAGTGCCATTTTTCTGGGGAAACTAACACTAGTTTGGGATCACGTGGCCAAATAAGCCGACTGACTGCATTTCTGACTTTTCAACTCACTCTTTGGGTGCCAGGTAGCCATCACCCTTGTTTAAAGGATAGTCATACTCATGTCTCTGAGTCTGAATTCATCAGGCGTTTGACTTCCTTTGTCAGGAGATGAAGAAACTGTGTTCCGGATCAATCAAGAGTTTAGGTATCCAGCTCATCTCTTATAGTTATTAAAATCGTATTCAACACCTTCTCTCTGGACCCACCTAAGAGGTAGGCAGAAGTAAATAGATGGGTAAATTCAACTCAGTCATTCTGAGTTGACTCTTGCTTCTGCATCTGGTGCCCACTAACCTACCCCTCAAAAAATGTGACTTGGAAGTCAAAGGAGAGAAATCAATACAAAATTAAATGGGATCTCAACACGAATAAATCCCCTCTCTGTGCCACAAAAAATGCTTTCTGAGGGATCAATAGCCCCTGTCCTAAAACTCTGAGGTGTGGGTCCACACTACAAATCCTTCAATGCTCCCTGAGTTGGTTCTTGGGACATTTAAGGATCTCACCGCACTGTTGCTGAGAGACGCTGTGTTGTGCATGTGACGATTAATAACCAAAGCTCAGAGAGACTGAACGATCTGGAGAAAAATCTCTTTTGGAAAAAAAAATAGGCGGTCATATTATTAATATTATTGTTATTTGAATATAGTATGATAAATCTGGTCATAAGATATAACTCTTAGTCAACAGTCCCTTGCATTATGTGATCATCTACTGCTGAGATATAAAGATATTTCTGAATTAAGTACCCAGAAGTGCCTCCCTTCTGTAACTCCTCCCCCTCTTTTAAATGGTTATAATGGAGCATGCAACACCCCCCTCAGTGCCCAAATATTGTTATTTATGTAAAACCAGCTCAACCACAGGAGGAACATCTAGAAACAACAATATTGATTTTGTTTGGCCCGTTTGCTTTTAAACCCTCGCCGGTTGCTGAATGCTGGATATCAAACCCGAGCCCCCAGCATCCTGCCAACTCCTCAGGGGTGCAGCTGCTCCACCTGGAGCCCCGGCCTGTTTTCCCTGCCGCGGCTGGCGATGCTTCACACATGTGTTTCAAGAACAGCCCGACTGTGCGTCTCAGGAAAGTAAACTGCCTCTTAGGTCATCCGCCTGCGCTGTAGCTGGGGAAAAGGATTTCTGAGTACAACAGGATTTCACACTAATTAAAAGGCCTTTGGGATCATTTGAGCCCTCATCCCCCAAGAGGCCCGTTTGGGGCTTTTCCCTACAGTAAAAAAAAAAAAGAGGCCTGTTTCCTCACCAGTTCTCCTTTTTAAACATCTCCAGGGGCAGAGTTTCCAGGGAGACCTGAAAAGGTTCCGTCAGAGGTGAAAATGAATCAACTCATTCTGCCTTTTCAAAGCTTTCTCTGGCTTATAAAATGTCCCGCTGAGAGGTTTCCTCTTCCTCCATGGGCTACAGGAGCCCTTCTGCTTCCTCTCCCCAGTTTTGATCAATGGGTCACTCTTCTCCTTCAGCGATCCCCGGAGGCCGGTAGGACCAGGGAGTGCCTGGGTTAGAATTTGTTGATGTTTCTATGGAAAGGACCCGTGCTGTCCTGCTCTCTCTGAGAAATGAGCCAAGTCCAGGGGCCCTTCCGGCACTTGGGAGCCTCACCTTCCACCACCAGGCGACACAGAAGGGAGGGTTGTTGAAGGTGAGGGCCTGTCGCGGGTGCATTTTCTCACAGGGCGTTCCCTGGGAAATGGAGTTGATGATTAGTTCATTTTTCTTAGTTTCCTCTGCACAGGTCCCTGCGCTCCGGCCAGGTAAACTTCTAAGGAGGTGAAACTCAAGGAGGATGACTAAAGAGTGAAATATTAGCTAAAAAAAAAAAATAATAAATTTCCTTTTTTTTTTTTTTTTTTTTCATCTGGCAGTTGAGTCTCATGGTAGGAGAATTAACCCAGATGGGTACCTATTTTTCTTTGCATTCACAACACATGGTTTCCTGGTCAGAAAGGCCCGGGGACTTTCTTCCTAAGGTGTCCCATGATCGTGCCACCTCCTGAGTGAATCTCTCGCCCATCAGAGCTGCGGCTGACTCAGCCAGGGGCCGCCACTTGAGAGCACCCAACGGGCAGACCCACATTTAGGAGCGACCTGGAGAGACGGGGAGACATTTTTGGCCAATTCTTGGGTTTTGACTGTAAGGTGGGTAGTTACATGACATCACCAGTCCAAGACTTAGTTAGGTCATGAGAGAAGACTGAGGACCAGGGAACATGGGACCTCATAAAGCACTCCTTTACCTTCACCCGTCCCTCCTCCTCCCACCCCCATCTGCTTTCTCACAGAGCAAAACCTCTCATCCGTAAGCACAGTCAAATCCAGGCACGCAAACTCCACGGAAACAGCCACTCCTCAGCAAGCAACCCCCTGGCAGGTAGACGCCCCCGTGGGCCTTTTGGCATCGGCACTGCCCCCCTCCCCTCCCATTCCCAGTCACCCCAGTTTGGAATTGCACGCCCATTGCCTTTCCCAGCAAGGCCCGGACAGGGTGAAAACCAGGTGCAGCGTTGGCCAGGTGCTCAACAGCCCTGCGACGTTCCCGTCACCGCGGCAAACGGCCGAGGTGTCCCAAGTGACCTTCCAACCTGGCCTTCAGCGCCCAATGACAGAAACGCTGGAAGGCGCGAGTGACCGAAGGTGTGTTTGCCAGATACCCAGAGAGTCCACCAGGTCCAGCTCGGTCCTCCTGCACTCACGCTCTCTGTCTCTCCCACAGGGCGGCGGGTCTCTTGGAACAAGAACGGAGGTGGCATTTGTCCTTGACCTTGCAGATCCTGAGGAAGAGGAGGGTGCAGGGGGAGCTGGCAGTCGCACGTCCCTAAAGCATCTGAGAAGGTATTTGACGTTGGCGGAAGGGGCGTTCCTGTCATTTCCGCTTGCACGAGGACGCCGGGGAGGCGGGGCTGACCTCTGTGACAGACAGCGGCGCGCTGGCGTCCCCGTGAGGCCAGATTGAACGAGTGTTCGCGGGGCGATGAGGAAGAGGAGTCTGTGGAGCCGGAGTCCTGTGGGGGCAGTGGAGTCCTTCTGCAGCGGCGGGGACGGGGCGCGGCGGCGGCCGAGCTCAGGACTGGCTGAGGCGCTTGGCGACATCCGCGTAGGCCAGCTCGATCTCTTGGTCGGCGGCGCAGGTGTTGGTGAACTCGTCCCGGGCGTAGGCGTTCTTGAGGTACCGCCACAGGCCTGTCATCTCAGCCGGGAAGTCGTAGTTGCGGTATTTCTTGGCCACAATCTGAAACACAGACGGTAGGACAAGAGGTGGTGTGAAGACAGACTATCAGAAAGGGTCAGACACCTGCCCAAGGTGTGCGTGCTCAGCAGGGAAACCCCCTCCACACACACACACACATCACAGCAGGTCGTCAGCAAAACGTTTGTAATGCCAAGGGGCCACTGCAGCCCTCATTTTTATTTTATTTTACTTTAATATTTTTAAGCAAATATCATTTGCCCTTGGACTGTAGTGGGTCCACTTCTAGGAATTTTTCCTTAGGAAATAATCATGGTTGTACGCAGAGACTTTTGGCTACACAATTATGATCCCAGAACTATTTCGAATAGCAAAAAAAAAAAAAATTGAGCACAGCACCAATGTCCAATAATACGTGAATAGCTAAGTTCATTTACTGCACATAGATACAATGGCATGCTGGAGGGCCACTAAAAATGACACTGCTGAGGGAATCCAGGGATCTGGAAAACTCTTCAAGACAGACTATTGCCAGCATTTATTGTTTGGAGATTTTTTGATAAAGGCCATTCTCACTGGGGTTAAGTGATATCTCATTGTGGTTTTGATTTGCATTTCCCTGATGATTAGAGATGTTGAGCATTTCTTCATATGTTTGTTGGCCATTCTTCTGTCTTCTTTAGAAAAATTTCTGTTCAAGTCCTTTGCCCACTTTTTAATGGGGTTATTTGATTTTTTCTTCCTAATTTTCGTGAGTTCTAAGTATATTCTAGTTATCAGTCCCTTATCGGATGCATAGTACTATTCAGCTCTAAGAAACAATGGTGATATAGCACATCTTATATTTTCCTGGTTAGAGCTGGAACCCATACTACTAAGTGAAGTATCCCAAGAATGGAAAAACAAGCATCAGATATATTCTCCAGCAAACTGGTATTAACTGACTAGCACCTAAGTGGACACATAGGTGCTACAGTAATAGGGTATTGGGCAGGTGGGAGGGGGGAGGGGGGCGGGTATATACATACATAATGAGTGAGATGTGCACCATCTGGGGGATGGTCATGATGGAGACTCAGACTTTTGGGGGGAGGGGGGAAATGGGCATTTATTGAAACCTTAAAATCTGTACCCCCATAATATGCCAAAATAAAAAAACAATTAAAAAATTAAAAAAAAACCATACAATAACAAGCTTGCAAGTTAACTGAAAAAAAAAAAAGACAGACTATTGCATTTCAAGTGGAAGTATAATGCGTTTGGAGAAATTTGTAGGATGATTAGAAGTATACATACTGATACATTACCAATGGTTATGTCTAACTGATAGAATTACAGATAATTTTTCTTCTTTCCTTTATCCAGTTTGTTTTACCCAAGTGTTCTTATTTATAGAAGTAAAAAAAAAACACATAAAAAGTAAGTTAGTTGTTGGAATGTACATGTAGGTTCAGTTATGATGTGGGAGTGAGCAAATCGTGGTTTCTATTCGCTCCCTGGTTTGCCACACAGAGGGATGCATATGAGGAGAGTTCTGGGGAAGTGAGGTTTGTGTTGAGAGAAACAGTAGCATGGTGGTTAAAAGCATGGGCTCTGGATCCCAACTGACTGGATTTGCGATCCTGATTCCACTTAATAGCTGTGTGACCTTGGACACATTACTTAACCTCTCTGAGCTCCAATTTCTTTATCTCTAAAACAGAGGTAATAATAAGACCTACCTTGGAATAAGAAGTTAGTTAATACACATAAAATACTTAGAGGAGTGGCTGGCACATGGTAAGAGCTCAATAAACATTTCCTATTATTATAATTCATTGAGACCCAGCTTCTGCCGATTTGCATGCATTTTCTTCATGGGTGGGAGCAGGGTGGTCTTGTTAATGAGGTCTCTCTAGCCAGGGCGACTTCATGGACAAGTGACCCGTGCAGTCTCAGCGGGCCTTGCACTCAGAAGGGCCCTGCTCTTGGTTTAATGCTCTGGTGTCAAAGTGTGGAAATTCTCAATAATTTTTTAACAAGGATCCCCTGTTTCCAGTGTGCACTAGGGCCTGCACGTTAGCTGTCCTGCCTCCAGCCCTTGGGGGCTGGGGTAGGGGTAGCAGAGAGTAATGAAAATCTGACTTCTGACACCTTCCCTTGCTTTGCATTTTAGAGATGGAGCCAGATCATTGGTCCTCAGATCCTCCCACTCAGAGACCCCCCCCCGAGCAGCCACTCTGGGCTTTCGTCTTATTCTGGCACCGGTGATGTGCAGAGTTCCCCAGAAAGCTGGGCTGAGTGAAAAGACGACGATGGCCCATTGCAGGAAAAGCCGGCTCTCACAAATCCACATTCCCACAGACATCTGGGGACATTGTCTCCCTTCCATGCTCCCAGGCCAGTGTTGAATTCCTGTTACAACACTAAGCTGTGTTCTATTCCGAATCACAGTTGTTGCTTTAGTGGCCTTTCTTCTCTAGCTTGTGAGCAGCATGAGGATAGGAACGGCAGCTTCTTCGTTTCTGAACCCCTTGATAATCTCCATAATGATGTTGATTAGGGGATAGCAAACTTTTATTCGCTGTCTGCTCTGCTCCAGCTACTGCTTTAAGCACCTTGTAAGCTACTTAAATCTCAAATAACCCTAAACGTGAGAGTCAATTAGATTCTGGTTTTACTGATGAGAAAAGTAAGGCAAAATAGAGATTCAGTCAGTAGGGATTCAATGAACACTTGCATTTAATCTTTGCAGTCTTTAGTTATGCTCACATCAGACAAGGAGCATCTAGTGTCATATGTCATAACATCACTTAATTGTAAAGACTGAAAATCCTTAGCGATGAGCAAACTGGAGCCAAGAGAGAGTAAGCGACTTATACAATGTTACACAGGAAATTCATTGAACCATATCGATGGTGTAACCATTAATATGTATTACATTTCCTGCTTTCCGATCCACAGTTCTTTTCGCTTTGCTGCTCAGCCCTATGGAAAGGACAAAAAGTGGGTCTGCTCAGAATCCCCCATGTGCTAGATATGAATCAATCATTGCTCATCCCCAAACCTGCCCTCTATTTGCTTCTTTGGGATGCTGGGCTGGGGCTGTGCAGACCACATCTCTGCTTAGCCAGTGAGTCCTGGGCTGGAGCAGCAGGCGCGTCCAGTTTGCTGTCTTGCCAACACTCATGCAACCAGCATCATCACTCCTGCTCGGAGCGGCCAGTGCACAACAGGGACCCCGCTGCGGAGGTCGGGTCCCAGCCAGCCCGAGTTTGGACCCCAGCACCAGCTGAGCTGCCCTCGCACCTCAGGGTGCAGGCTCAGCTCTGCAGGGCCCCTGAGTTTCTAAGTTTTAATAATTCAACCTCTTCTCCTCATTCCCCCTGCACCAGGGGGAGTTGTTGCCTCCGGAAGGTAGAGCCTCCTGGCGCACTTTGCCTTCCCAGTTCTTCAGCACGTAGTACTTGTTTATATTACGTTCTCTCAGTTAAAATAGCCGGTTTGGCCTGGCTACCAAAGAAGCCACCCCACCCTGTCCGGCTTAGATGTGGCTAACAAGGGAGGGTGGGGGTGATGGAAGCAGAGTCCCCCAACAGAGCACTCGTGATGAACAACGTGGCACCAACGTGGCACCCACCACCAGTCCTCCTGGTCTCCCCCTCCCTGTTCCCTGCAAGATGAAGGTGTCTTGCATTGGGCTGAGTGCCTTTGAGAAGAAGCTGTCTTGGCCAAAGAGCAAATCTGTGCAGGAGTGGGGGCCCAATTTGCCAGAGTGGGTGGAAGGGGCCCACAGTGAGGTGAAGGGATCTATCCACAAATATTTTTCACAACTGCATGCTGATTCATAGAGCAACCTCATGGCATTCCATGCTGAAATTTTATATTCAGGTTTTAAAGTATAGAATATTAGCTTTAAAATGGCAGAATTGCAATTTATAAATATATATTTGTGTTTATGTTTGTATCTCCCTTCCTGTTTGTTCCGGGTGCTGACCGCAGTCACCGTGCCAGGCGAGGGTCCCCATGCCGGGGAAGAAAAGCCCCTCCCTGCCAGACCTGCGTGCCCTGGGCCTTGGCTGATGAGTTGGTTGTTTTCTCACTTATTGGCTTGACTTTGGGAGATGAGAACTAGAAGGGAGCCGGACGATGCAAGTGCAAGCCAGGCTCTCAGTGAGCACCTGGGCCAGAGCAACTCAGCTTCCGTGGTGGAGAGGAACCTGCAAGTGAGCTGAGAGAGAGAGAGAGAGAGAGAGAGGCGAGTGGTTGACAATGTTCACGTGGAGCTCTGACGTCCCCAGGACTTCCATGCTCATGTTCTGCCTTCGCTCTTTCATGTGAAAGCAGTTAGCTCTTACAGCCCAGATTTAGTTTTGACATCTGAAGCCAAACTGGAGGCCCCGATTTGGCTGCCCTCTTGCTCTTTCTGAACTTCAGAGCTTGGCCAGGTCCCCGGGATCTGATAAGCCGCATCAGCAAATTCCAAGGAAACGGGGAGCCGAGGCCTGGCCTTTGTTCCCTCCGTGACCATCTTCGTTCTGATCCCCGGCTTCTCCACGCGAACTCACGGAACTTCCTCCAAAGACAGAGGCTTAACTTAGTCATGCGGGGCTGGGAGGAACTGTAAGGAACTGGGAAATCACAGGAGGAAGCACGAGGCTTGGGAGATCTGTTTGTTTGCCTTATTCAACAAATAACTCTTGAGTGGATAGTGAACATGCGTTTGAGTAAAAGAGAAGGAAGGGAGGAGGGAAGGAAGAAAGGAAAAGGAGGTGAGAAGGAATGCAGTCCACTTCTCTTAGGCACAAGAAAAATGAGTCCCCAAAAGATTAAACGCCTTGCCGTAGTTCATGCTGCTAGTTGGCAGCAGATACAGGACTAGAACTTGGGTCTCCAGATCTTTCCATTATATCTCTGTGACACGCTGCAACTGAACTGGAATTATATCATCCCCGATGGTGCTACTTATTCCTCAGGAAAGGAAAACAAAGGATGCTTTGATGGGTGGTGCATGCGACAATTAATAACTTCAAAGAAACCTAGCTTGGCTGGACCTATAAGTGACCACTGGCTTGGCCCCAAACCCAAAGTGTCTTCATATTAAGAGGTTGTACGTGCCCACGGCATCAGCACCGGCACGCACCATTCCCTCCCAGTTTCTGGCTCTGACTGAGGCCCATGGGAACACCAGTGCACACACAGCTCAGTGATTTCAACTCAAGCTGGTATGTGCTCTGATTGGAAGGAAGCCAGCATTTCTGGCCTAGAACTTCAGCTGAAAAACGAAAGGCGTATACCTAGCTGGTAAATGATTGAACCTTATTCTTCTTAGTGAAGGGTAGAAATAAACTGGGTATCACAAAGATATATACCAGCTGATCAAATGATCCATCTGTGAGTGTTCATTAAAGGATCACCATGTGCCCACTGTCATTCTTGGAGAAGTCCCTGTCCTCACAGAGCTTATTGTCTGACTGAGACGAGAAGACATAGACAAGTCTAAAAGTATAGAACAGTACAGCTACCCCATATTAGGCTGGTGAGGGCAGGAAAGGATGTGGGAAGAGCTCAGAGAACTTAGAGGGATACAGCTGCTGTCTTCAAATGAGATGAGGGGAGGAGCAGAGCTGTTCTGTGTGGCTCCAGAGAACAAATGGGTAGCAGGGAAGCGCGCTCAGGCCCAGCATAAGGAGGGACACTTTAATGATCAGAGCTGTCCAACGTGGTAGGGCTGGCTTGTTGGGCAGAGGGCTCCTCATCCCCAGAAATGCATGATCACAGCTTCGTAGAAGACTGTCATAGACACAGCAGAAAGCAGTCCAGGTTGGGGTGGGAGCTTGTTTGGGATGACATCTAAATGTCCTTCTTTCCAGCTCTCAGATCCTAAGATTGGTTGTGTAGGAAAGGATCACACTACGGGTCGCAGATGGTCAGGAAGTGCAATGTGAGCAAGAAAGTGATGTTGACGATTGCAGCCTCCATCTCTTCAACTGCTAGGTGAGGAAGATGAAGCATGCCCACCTAGAAAGCTGCTAGAGAAAGTGAGAGGGCGGACCAGTGCCCAAAGGAAATGTGCATAGAGGGCACATTTAATAGAGCTGGGGGGGTGGGGGGTGGCCAGTGAAGCCTACGAGGAAGAGGCCTTTCCAGTGATGTGACTATGTACAATAATTACGATTGCAACTATTGTATATTGAGCCCTTACAATATGCCAGGCACTTTCATACCATATTTGCTCTTCCAGCAACCCTAGAAGTAAAGCAATCTATGCCTATTTTGTAAATGAAAACTGAAGCTCAGAGAGGCTACACAGGCCCCTGTCATCTGACTTTATGTCCAGGCTCTTGATTAACAGGGTGGCACTGTCCCTGTGACTCATCCACACAGGTGACCTGGGCCTAAGATGGAGCTGAGTCTCGCAAGAACCTGCAGGTAGGGCTCTCTTACCTTGACCACGTGGAGCTTGGGCAGCAGATTGCAGTCGGCCAGGGTGAGCTCGTCCCCGTCCAGGAACATTCTCCGGGACGCCTTGTCGTCATCCCCGCGAGTGTTGGCGTCGATCTCCTCTGGGAGAGGGGTGTTCAGGTAGTCATCCAGCTTCTTCAGAGCCTTGGTCAGGCCTCGCTCAAGGGCTGGCAAGGAAGAGCAAGAGAAGGGTCTTTGGTCAAACTTCTTGCCAGTGGATACAGTCACGGGGTCTTCAGAGGGGAGAAGCTCCTCTAGAATCCTGTCCGCTTGTCACAGTGCCAGCTCCCCGCACGCCACAGAATACCTGGTGACCATTAACACGATGCAGTGGGAGTGTGCTAAGGAGCCCAAAAAACGCAAACTCTAACCGAACAATAAACACCAGCTAAGCCTTCATTTTGAAATATATATATAAATATAGAAATGCAATAGCTAGGAAATATACCAAAGCTTTTTCAGTGCTTATCTCCAGCAGGTGCAATCATACTAGTCAACTTTTATTTTTTCTTGTCTATATTTGACCAATATTCCACAATAAACCTGCATATTAATTTTGTAGAAAGAAAGGGCTATGAAATGAGTAAATAAAAGCTATAAAGAAGTCCTAAGACAGAGACATGCACCAGATTTTGTGGAAGCATTAACGATGGCTAATCCAACCTGAGACGAGTTGGGGACAAGGCCTCGAGAAGGACACGACAGGGGAAATAGAGCAGCTCTGTTTGGTGTCGCCCCCAGCAAAGAAGTGATGGGTGTCAGGGAGGCACACTTGAGTTTGATCTAGGGAAGATTGTCCTGAAAACCGGTGCTGTCCCAATGCCAGGCCCAGGGCACCAAGCAGTGGGCCCTACCAGCAATGTGCAGCCACAGCTGCGTGGAGAGCTGTCATGGCCATGGCTCAAAGAGTGAGCACCTGCTGGAAGATAATGTGGCAGAAGACTTTTTATAGTCTTGCCCCAATAATTATCTATCAAATCATTCATTTAGACACATGAGTAGAACAAAATACCCAAAATAACAACTGTGGGAATTCATGATCACTCAAAGTCATTTTTTCCAAGAATCTCAAAGTCCACCCCAACCATAGGACACTAACACAGAAACTTTCCACCTGAGCTCAGAGGACAGCGAGGAGATGGCTGGCTGGGTCATCAGCCACTGCACCTGTGCCATCAGCCCTATCCCCACCGGCTGTCTTTCCAGACTCTAGTTTAGAGGTGCCACTGAGATAGTGGGAGTCGGTCCTGATGCTCGTTCCAGCAGATACAGGGGGATGTTGCCTTCTGGAGGCAAAGCACAGAGGACTGTCCTCTTGTTCAGATTTTCCCAAATGTGCTTTCTGCGAGCCACTCCTCACATAACCCACTGTTGTCTGTTCATAGAAGGCCTTTTGTTAGAGACAATGGAATGACACCAGCCCAAGATAAATGAATTGAACGTTTACTGGAATGTTTGAGAACCGGCTGGAGGTTGGACATGGTTTCTCAATACTTCCTCCTCCCTGGTGCGGCATTTGAACTTCGTCATCTGCTTTGTGTTTCCAGTTTGGGAGAATAGAGTAAGCAGGGCTGGGAAAAATGCTTGTGTTCCCTTTAGCAACCGTCTAGACTGTGCTGGGACTGCAAGACTATTCAAAAGCAAAGGCATAGGATGGTACGAAACAATACCTACAATGCTTTTACCCCCAAAGCACTGTGATTTACACTGGGTTTGTTTGCTCACTCACATTCCTCTACCCCTTTCAGCTATGGAGATGATGCCAAAATCTTGATTCTAATGAAGAAAGGAAGAATCAAATACTGGGCTTGTCAAAATTTGACCAACTGATATCATCAGGAAATGAGAAATATGATAGGAAACAAGACAATGCAGGTTCTGATTCCAAATGCCCCTTGGAGACCCAAGCGGGCCACTATACAAGTCTGTGCCCAAGTCACCGGGTCTGGGAACTGTTGTGAAATTTGAGCTAGAGGCCCAGAGCAGCCACTGATGCTCCTTGGGAGGATAGTTCTGGATAAATTTCAACTACCTCTCTACTGGTTCCCCAAGATGAAAGGGATACAGTCTGGCAGTGGGAGTGGTTGTTGCTTTATGTGGCAACAGCGACATGCCATGTCACGTGCCAAGTCGGTCCGTTCTCTGGACGTCCTCTGCATCTGTCTCATTGCTGGGTGTGTGCGTTTTTGATCAGAAACGTGAAGGCTGCAGTTGGTGGTAATCACAGGAGAGAGGAGACCAGGTGGCAGGGATGGGGCCCTGGGGTCTGGAGCTAACCTGTGTTTAAATTCTTACCCTGCCCAAGGTGGATTCACTATGAAGCTGCTGAGCCTTAAGCTTCGAGGTCCCTTAATTGCCTGGGCCCCTTCCAAGGACTTAGACTTGACTTCAAAAATTTCTTAATTGTACTTATTGTATTTGCTTCGCACCCTACAAATCCCAACTATGTCACTGATTCTGGCACTTAGGCATGACTTTGGGCAAAGTTCTCAACTTTGGTGACCTTCAGTTTCCTCATCTCAATTGTAGGACTAAATATCCCTAATCCTTATAAAACCACAGATAAGATTAACTCGGATAATGCAGGGAAAGTGCTCAATACAGTGCCTGGCCCATATGAGAATGTCACTAATAATGGCTGTTGCTGTCCCGTTACCAAATGTAGGGCCATCATCCTGCTGTCTGTTCCTCACTCCACACTTGCAGTCAGTATATTCCTGAAAATTCCAGCGTACAGCAAGGACAGATTTTAAGAAGGCCCAGTGCCGTGGCCAAGTCCCTAGAGAGGGAAGTCAACAGCCTGGAGATTTGCTTCCCTTCCCTATCTGATGTACAGCAAAGCCCTGCATTTAATGTACAGCCTTACACTCCCCTGGAATCCTCCCCAGCGACAAGCTGTGCTGAGAGGCACAGCCAGAGGGGAAAAGATGCCACATGCCCATGTGCAAAAACACTGCCGTATTATGGGATAACAAATGGCAGCGCCCACGCAGTCTTTGCCAGTTCTTTTCCTCCTACCTGCCAACACACACATTGACCCTGGCCCAACCTGGCATCCAGAGAATGTAATGATCTCTCTGGGCTGATGGCACCAGGTCCTGAAGCCATTTGTGTTGAGCTTTCTGCTCTGGTAGGAGCAAGGAAGTTGTGAAAGAAACCAGACATGTGACAAGGAGATGTTGATGCCTTCAGTGTTTGTATTTGAAACTCTCCCTCCAAAAGACGTCCCCTGAGTTGCTGGATGGGGTGACACTCCGACTATAGCATGTGAGCCTGGGGTAGGTGCGCCTCAAACCCCGGGATCACCCACATCCCAGGCACTTGATGGATACCTGGTTCTTTCCCTGCTTTCTTCCCCTCTCCGCCTCTGCTCCCCAGAAAGATTTATTCCGTACCACACACAAATGCACCGGGTAAAATATGTGATGAGGAAACAAGGGGAATAGTTCATAAATATTCTCAGCCATATGCAAACAATCTCAAATTTATTTTTCTCTTTTTTAAGGAGGAAGAAAAAAAAATCCACCCATTCCGTGATCACTTCCAGATTCATTGAGGTTGATATTACATAAGACCCAATATTGTTTTCTCGTTGTAGAGAAATAATGACTTGGAAACGGCAATTTGAGCTAAGAAAATAATATATTCTTACCAGGGCATGGAGGCTGAATGGGGAGCTTGGAGCCAAGATGCTAACCCAGCCTCCAGCAAGTTCTTGCAGGCACAGCTCAGCCCCGGTTTGCTGGCAGGCTCGGGGCAGCATGGGTCCTGACCAGCAAGCCCTGGGCTCAGGATCCACGTGGAGAGGAGCGAGTGGCAAAGGTGGTCTTTGAGAGGACAAGAGCAGCTCCGTGGGCCCAGGTGGCTGCACGCTCAATTTCTCACGTGTGGTTTTTCTCTGGCGTGTGCACTTGCAGCGAGATAAGAATGAGGAGCCACCTCTGACCATTGTCTGCAGCCTGGATGGTCTGTTCAACTATCCATAAAGACAGGGATGGTGGCTCCCGGGTGCTGGCCAGGCTGGGCACCCCGCACCCTGCTCTGTTCCTTTCATCGCCCTAATCCCATCCCCAGTGCAGCAAGAAGATACACTCACCAACTTCCTGCAGTGAGCCGGGGGGAATGTTTATGCACCTATCATTTAAACACACAATGAGGCTATTGAGACGTGAACTATTACCCATTCTCAGTTTACAGATGAAGAAACTGAGTCTTGGGCTTAACACACACATATGCTCGTGTAAGCACACAAACAGCTGGGGCCTTAGACTGTTCAAACTACTCCTGGGATGTACAGAGAATATGTGCCATGTTTTGTTTTGAACTGCTGTGGTCTTCCAGACTCCCAACCCCTGGGCAGTGGGAAAATGGCAACAACTTTAATTTAGTCCATTCCGGATTATAACCTAGTCTGATGTCATGATCGAAATAGTCCCTGTAGAGAATTCTCAGTCTCTTTTGCATAAAAATGCTCAGTTTCTTAGAGAGCGTGCCTTTCCCTGGACTCATGGGACTGGGGGTTGTGGGGAAGGAGGTTCCTGTGACCTCCTGGCACCAAGGAGAGGGCAGTTCTGGAATCTTCGGGGCAGGATGCCTGTCCTACGAAGCTAATATGGGTTCTTTATCTCTTCTCAGTATGCTTCCTTTCAGAGTAACCATGGGATCGCTGGCCCTACGTTGGGGGCCACGGGTGAGCCATAGGTCACAGGTGGATGCTTGCCTCCCTCCAAAACCTGGAAGGATACCCAAGCAAAGCACCACAGGGGGCTCCTAAACATATCTAGTGCCCTGGCTGCCCTACCTGTCTGTTTTCTTCATCCCCAATCCCTCTGAGCCAGGAGAGGTGGGCTTTTCTTTTATTTTCTTAGGTCAAATAGTCAATCAGCCACAGAGCAGCAGGCCTCCCGGCCTAGCAGCACAGGCAGAAGGACTGTTTCTACTCTGGGAGCCAGGGCCCCCAGGGAGGTTCTTGGGTGAAAACTGAGATATGAAAGAACTTAGAAAATCTAAAGACAGTAGCTTAAGTGTGATAAGGCTACTTACTGTCTTGTTGAAAACACTGTTTTGAATTTCAGACGCTGAACATTGAAATCCTTTTTCTCTCTTAGGATTCCTTCCGCAGAAACCCTAATCTCTCTGGGGTTAATGGATGCCTAAATCAGATTAA